CTTTCTTTCTTTCTTTCACTTTATCTTTATTTCTCCCTTTCTTTCACTTTATGATCTTTCTTTCTTTCTTTCTTTCTTTCTTTCACTTTATCAATCTCTTTCTTTCTTTCTTTCTTTCTTTCTTTCTTTCTTTCTTTCTTTGACTTTATCTTTATTTCTCCCTTTCTTTCACTTTATGATCTTTCTTTCTTTCTGGCACTTTATCTTTCTTTCTTCCTTTCTTTCACTTTATCTTCTTTCTTTCTTTCTTTCTTTCTTTCTTTCACTTTATCTTAATTTCTTTCTAAGAAAAGAGCGTTGGTAGATACCGACGCCATATTGACATTTTCTTAGCAGTTCTTGGCCGCCTGTATCTAGGGTCACGATCCTTCCGCGTCCCATGACCCCTGAGTGTTGTAGAAAACACCGACAGACATAACTGACCTGAAGATCCACTTCCCGTGAAGTGGGAGAAATAATACTTCCCCATATTTAAGGCCAACCCCACGAGCAAAGGCGATTTGAGGGCGAAACTTAAGTAGAAGTGATTCTACTTTTAATCAGTACTTTTATTGCAATTACGCGTGCACGCATGCGCGAGAGCACACACGCACGCACACATGCACACAGACACATGAACGTACACAAAGAAGAAGAAAATCAACTTAACACCAATAAAAAAGCGCGTAAATTATCTTTTAATGTTGATGATACGACTATATAATTGGGTGCACATCTAAAACTCCCGATGACCAGAGATTAGCGATCTGATGTCTCTTCCGATCTTGCACAAAATACGCAATGGGGTAAAAACTGGCTGTTTACATCCAATGCTACCAAGACCATATATATATATATATATATATATATATATATATATATATATATATATATATAAAACACACACACGCGCACACACACACATATATATTATAAATTAACTGATTTAAAAAGATATATATATATATATATATAGCATGATGAGAAGCCACCTATACTTTCTTAATATCGCCCTTGCATGGAGTATGGAGTATTGCTGCCATATATGGGCTGGAGCACCTTCTGCTTACCTCGGAGTTCTTGACAAGATCCAGAGACGGATATGTAATCTAATTTGCCCTGATCTAGCGTCTTGTTTGCAGTCACTCTCTCACAGACGCGCCGTCGCCTCTCTGTCTTTTCTACAAATACTTCCATGGTAACTGCTCTGATGAGCTGCTCTCTCTGGTTCCCAGACTCCATGAATTCAAGCGCCCTACGAGGCTGGCATCCCGCTCTCACCCTTACACCGTAGAAACCTTCAAATGTAGCCGTATCTTCTACTCCAATAGCTTCATACCTCGCACCTCTCGCCAGTGGAACACCCTCCCCAATTACTGTTTCCCTGAAAGCTATAATCTCCAACTATTCAAATGTATTGTCAATCGACATCTCCAATTACCTTGATCTACCCACTATCCTTCTCCTCTTCCTTTCTCCTATCCCTCTTATCTGCTCTCGCTCCAAATCTTCCGCAACCCCCTGCATCCTAGTGGCTTCACGCCTTGCTTGGGGCACAATGCTTAAAAAAAAAATATATATAGAAAAAGTTTCAAATTAAAAAATTAAATACACATAAACTAAGGTTGAATAGGGACTTAGGTGTTTTAAATCTTTATAAATATTTCAATAGTTAAGCAATTTTTTTAGATATAGTAAAAAAAAATTTTTAAACAACATTTAAAATATTTATGACAGTTAGATTTAAGTTAGAAATATCCGAACAGTGACGTTCCATATCACGTGGCGTCCGCGTCTCGCGAAGGACGCTACTTGCTAACAAACAGTAATTTTAATTTATTTGTAACAAACAGTTATTTCTGATGAAAAATTGAGGACAATTTGAAATATCAAATATATATATAAATAAATACTTTCATAAAATAAAACAGTATTATTTTTTAATTTGAAACTTTTATATATATATATATATATATATATATATATATATATATATATAGCATGAACTCCCCTAATTAAGAAATATTCCAACAATACAGTAATTTTTATAACACAGCCCTAAAAAATAGCGGATACAAAAACGTAAACATAAATTATAGAAAACAATAGTACTAATAGGAAGAAAAACAGGAAAAGAAAAATCATTTGGTATACCCCTCCGTTCAACCAAATGGTTAGTATTAAGCTGGGACATAAGTTCCTAGCTTTAATTGAAAAACACTTTCCTACTAATAGCAGACTTAGCAAGATCTTTAATAAAAACGCCTTAAAATTAAGTTACAGTAGCACTGAAAATCTAGAAAGAATCATAAAAAAACATAATAAAATCCTGGAAAAACACGCATGCCAAAACAGTATTAATAAAAACCCTAAACTAAAATTAGACAAAAATAATGAAAAATTATGTGATTGTAGAAACCCTGAAGACTACCCGCTGGAAAATAAATGCCGCACAAAATCTGTGGTATACCAATGCACTATCTCATACATCGAGAGTCCTAACACTGATAGTATATACATTGGTTCAATGAAGAATGAATTTAAAATTAGATGGAGACAACACAAAAGCTCCTTCAATAATATTAGAAATAGAAATCAGACATCTCTATCCAAATATTTTTGGCATTTAAAAGAAAGGAATAAAACACCAAAAGTAAAATGGAAAATAATAAATAGAACAAGAACTTATTATTAAGAACATTATTAAGTTTCTAAATAATGGAAATTTATTAAACAATAAACTTGAGTTCATGGTTTTTTGCCGACATCAACAAATTTTCGCATTAAATAATTAGCATGAAAAAAGAAAAAAAACCATAGTCTAATAAAAGGCTTAAAAGCTTAACCCAATCATAAGATAGAAAAACCCTTTATGAAGTCGTCAAAAAAACAAATTGTAGTTCAGTGCGACGCATTTATGTATGAAACAGCCCTTTGGAAATAAATAAATAAATAAATGAATAAATAAAATAAAACAAAATTCTCTAGACACTTAACGACATATCATGGTGCCGAAAGCTATCTTTCGCTGTGACTTTATTAAAAAAATATCCATATATTAATCTTTTCACAATATCACCTTTCCTAACAGAATAACTACTGTCCCAAGCAAATGTACACAACAGTATCAAGAAATCAAAAGAAAATGGTTGAATCCGTCAAGACAACAATACGTGACAGTACTTGACGTAATTTTCAGTTGACAATATGAATACAATAGCTTTTTTCTAAATTCTTCCAGTTGCTAAGGACATTTTGTTTCTTGTTAATAGTTACTTTGTTTTCAAAAAATTCATTTCGCTTTTGCCTTGAAAAAGTCCACATTGGACGAGACGCGTCGGCTAATAATACAGTTTTCCTATTGTCTTTTACCTTTATACACACACACACACATACATATATACATATATATATATATATATATTACGATAAACACACACAAATACACACACAAAACTAATGCAAAGGTTAATATTTATATCCATATAAACAATAAATATATATCCGTATCCGTTATGAATGAAATGATCCCTGTTTATAAAATTTCTGCCGTGCTTATTTTTTTATACAAGCTTTCGTCTGTTCCTACAGACATTTTCAGGTATAGAATAGATGTTGTTCTTGTTTTTTTCTCTTAGTAATAAGAGGACAACGAAAATATATGTATTGTTGTATCCGAAAATGCTATTGAAAATGAGTTACTGTTTTGGAGCTGAGTTTTGATTTTAAATAGTTTCAATAGCATTTACCAGTAAAAATTCGTTCATCACCATATATGAACGCACAACCTTTAATAAAAATTTAAAATCAAACTCAGCGTTGCTTTTAGCGCTCCAAAAAACAGTAACTCATTTTCAATAGCATTTTCGGATACAACAATACATATATTTTCGTTGTCCTCTTATTACTAAGAGAAAAAAACAAGAACAACATCTATTCCATACCTGAAGATGTCTGTAGGAACAGACGAAAGCTTGTAGTAAAAAAAATAAGAACTAATACGGCAGAAATTTATATAAACAAGGATCATTTCATTCATAACGGATACGGAGGTTTTGTATATTATTTGAATTGTTTGCGATGATGGATGTCTCGCCATTTAAATCATTAACCTTGCATTAGTTTTGTGTGAATAATTATATATATATATATATATATATATATATATATATATATATATATATATAAACTAGTTTGTGAACCATTATAATATTACTTTCACATACCCAAATATGCTAGTATGTTTTAAATCAAGGAACAGCTTAATAAAAATATCCAAATGTTTGACAATTTTTGTCTTTATTTTCACCTAAAATTAAAGCAAATATACGAAGTTTAGAACGGCTCCTGATCAAACATAATAGACATTCGTTGTCTGTTATATTTAACAATATATGTTTGAATAATGATCTGCTACCCCAATACACTATATATATATATATATATATATATATATATATATATATATATATATATATATATATATATATCCTAATGTACCCGTGGCGTCAAAATTGATTGTCGCTTTTTATCCCAACACTCTGTGCCAATAAACTTCATTATTATTATTATTATTATTATTTTATTTCCTTTGATTTTTGGCGTTTACACATTTCTTTCCGGGTCCCGCCCAGAGACCAAAGGTCAGAAATGGCATCATGACACTTTCCACTGACAAAATAATAATAATTATTATTATTATTTTATTAATAGTATTATTCCATCTAATTATTGCTGCTTTTTATCACAACACTCAGGGTCGAGGAACTCTTCATTATTACTTTTATTTCATTACTAGTTTTTTTAACCCTTTTACAAGACCATGGAAAATGCTACATTGAAATTCGAATGTACAATTGAATAGAAAAAGTAGACAGACACAATTTCACTTAAAAGGTTTGGGTCAACCCGTGGGATTTGTTTTCAGGCACTTTCCAAAATGTGAATCGCCTCGTCCATACCGATTTTGATAATAAATTATTTTCTTTTTTTGCTTTCTTTTCTAGTTTTATGAAGACAGAATGCTGAAAGAAAAGATTTATGCTTGGTACCCCCAAGTCGATGTTGTTGATTACACAGCAGTAAAACCAGACTCATATGGTGAATAGTATTCGTTTTTTATCAATTTTCATTTTTTTTTTTTTTTTTTTTTTTTTTTTTTTTTTGCCCGGGGGTCGCTCGGCCCCTGAACAAGAAACCATCGAGAACCACAGTCCATTCCTGCTTATTTCGTCAAAAGCCAGTTGCGAAAAAAACTTACCTTCTCCTCATACCCGGTCTAATAGTAAAATTGTCAAAATCGTGCAAAAGCAAAATTGTCCAATTGTTAGATTAAGTTTGAATCGTTGTATCTTAGAAATGATTAAAGATATCTTACTGGAATTCTTCGAGGATTTTATAACATTATTGGACTCTACTTTGAACAAAAAGGATGTATTTTGCAATGAAATGAATGACCCCCCTCTTCCTGTTTTGACCTAAAAAAGTTTTCCTCTCTACTGTTTCCTCTTTTTAAAACTTTTTCACCGTTCTCTTAATGGTTCTTGAATGGACTTTGAAGATGGAAGTCAGAGTATGAATGTTGCTACCTGAAGGCCTGAATGATCTTTTTCCTCTCACCATTGCTCAGTCGGGAAGACATAGTGAGACAGACACAAAACGATTTTAACCTGTTCTTTTTCTAGCTGAATAAGTCGAAGGTTCTTGCAGTGATTCTTACGACAAATGGTGTCAAGATGGCTAAACGTCTTATCTGAAAACCTGGGAAACTGAATTGGTTTAGTAGTTTTTAGATATTAAACATTTTGCGGGATTATCCCACGCTGTTACACGAATTGGGCAATTTTGCTGTTACACCCGGTATATAAGTAAATCAAGTTGGTGTAGGCAGAACTCCCCACCCCTGTCCTGGGAGAGACTAGATCTAGTTTTCAGAAATCGTTTTAGTTTTGCTGCTGTTATATATTTAGAGATTTTTGATAAAATCCACAGAAAAATCTGCAATGTTATTTGTCTTGACTCGGCTTCAGTCACTTTCCCACCGTAACGAAGCTACCCTGTGCCTTTTTCTATAAATATTTTCGGGAAAATTGTTCTGATGCGTTTTTCTCGTTGGTACGTCAAATTACAAATTTAAGCGTAGTACTAGATTGGCAGTTAGGTCTCCTCATTTTATAGATGAAATGCCTAGATGCAACCGTAAGTTCTGTACTAACAGTTTTCTCTATTGCACCTCCCACTTGTGGAACTCTCTTCCAGCCTCATGCTATCCAGTCAACTTTGAAATGAATGACTAACTTGTTAACCATTGCTCAACGACAAGCATACTGCGAGCATAAACACAATAGAAGCGTTTTTTAAATAACTAGATACAACCGTAAGTTCTATGTTAACAGTTTCTTCTCTCGTACTTCTTACTTGTGGAACTTGTTGTCTTGGACGGCTAAACTTCTAGATTCTTTTGCAATAATGCAGAGGTGACCGAGGTTTATTCTTGGGATCTATGCTTTTCCTAATTTTCATCAGTTCCCAATTCGATAACTATGCTGATGACACAAATTATTACTCTTACAACTATTAAAACTATTACTCTTACAAATATTATAATAATTACTCTTACAACTTTTAATCTTACAACCATTATAACCCTTACTCTTACAACTATTACAACTATTACTCATACAATTTTTAAAACTGTTACTCTTAAAATTATTACTCTTACTAATATTACAACAGCTACTCTTAAAACTATTTCTCTTACAACTATTACAATTCTTAATCTTAAAATTATTACCACATTTACTCTTATACATCTTACAACGGTTACTCTTACAACTCTTACAAATAATAATCTTACAACTATTATCTATACAATTCTTACAACTATTACATCATTTACTCTTATAACTATTACAACTTTTACTCATACAACTATTACAAAGGTTACTCTTACAATTATTACACTTACAACTCTTACAACTATTACAACAGATACTCTTAAACTTTTACAACTATTATTATTACAACTTTTACAACTTTTACTCTTACAACTATTTCAACTATTACGACTGTTACTCATACAACACTTACAACAATTACTCTTACAATTATTACAATTACTCTTACAACTATTACTCTAGCATGTATTACAATTATTACTCTTACAACTAGTATAACAGTTACTCATACAACTCTTGCAACAATTACTCTTAAAACTATTATACTACTCTTGAAATAATTACTCTTACAACTATTAAAACTATTACTCATACAAATCTTACAATTATGACTCTTACAACTATTACAACTTTTACTCTCACAACTTTTATAGCTATTACTCTTACAACTTTTGCAAATGCTACTCTTACAAATATTACCCTTCTTATTCTTACAACTCCCACAACTATTACTATTACAGCTATTGCAACAATTACACTTACAACTCTTGCAACTATTACTCATGCAGCTCTTACAACTATTACTCTTAAAACTATCAAAACAGTTACTCTCACAGCTATTACTCTTACAATTATTACGCTTACAGATATTACAACACTTATTCTTACAAACTCTTACTCATAAAAGTCTTACAACTATCCTTCTTACAACTATTGCAACAATTACACTTACAACTCTTACAACTATTACTCTTACAAATATTACAACAGTTACTCTTGCTAATCTTACAACTACTACTCTTAAACGTATTACAACTCTTACAATTATTACGCTTACAAATATTACAACACTTACTCTTACAACTCTTACAACAATTACTGTTACAACTCTTACAGCTATTACACTTACAACTATTTCTTATGCAACTCTTACAACAATTACTCATACAACAATTACTCTTACAACTATTACTCTTACAACTATTACAACTCTATTACAACTATTAAAACTATTACACTTAAAACTCTTACAACTACTACAACTATTACTCCTACAACTTTTACAAGTATTACTCACCCAACTCTTACAACTATTACTCCTGTCTTAATAGTCAATCTAATCGGCCCGACGAGATCAAATTGGTATCTAAAAAATAACCTTCAATCTTTTGTTAACTAGGGCAAAGAATGGCTTATTAATTTTAACGCCCTTGAAAAAAAAAACTGCTTTATTACAACGCTTTATTCCATGCTGATGGAAGACAAAGGGATCTGTCAGGCTCATGTTGACCTCAAGGAGGGTGTGACTCGTTGCTCCCTCTCAGGGCTAATGTTTTCCGTTGACATGAATTGGAACGATTATATTGAAACGACTGCTCCCACGAGAGTTGGTTCACTGTATCGTGCTAAACGATTTTTATCACCATAATTTATCTGACATATTTATAAGTCTACAAAGTGTCCATACGTTGAATATTGCTGTCACATCCCGTCTGGTGTTTTGACTATGCATTCAAAGGGTCATTATAAAAAGCCAATAATAATCTGCAATGTTATTATTCCTGATCTGTCATCTCGGCTTTAGTTACTTTCCCACCGCCGAAATGACGCTTCCCTCTGCCTTTTCTTTAAACATTTTCGTGGTAATTGTTCGAATGAGCTTTCCTCTTTGGTACCTAAATTTTGTGAATGTAAGCGTACTACTAGATTGGCAGTTAGGTCTCAATATTTTACAGTTGCAATATAGCTCCGTATAACCGTAAGTTCTCTGCTATCAGTTTCTGTTGCCGCACGTCTCAATGATGTAACTCTCTTCCGACTTTTTGCTTTTCCGTCAAATTCAATTGTTATCTTCTGTTTTCTTAATTCCTCTCCTTTTAGCGTTCTCTCTCGTTAATTATGTTTTATTTTTCTCATATTCTCTCGCACTCAGTAAACCCTTGTGCAGTCCTGGGTATGACGAGAAACTACATCCAGCGGCAAGGCCTCTGATCAGGAGGTTTTGAGGAGCGTAGAACCACCTCTTAATTGCTGGTGTTTCCAGGTACACCCTGACCCGGGGTGGTGGCACCTGTTGGGGTTCCAGCTATGGTCAAATAGTTAACTCCGAAACTGAGACTACATCCTCGTCCTGGGTATGACGAGAGACTACATCCGCGTCCTGGGTATGACGAGAGGCTACATCCTCGTCCTGGGTATGACGAGAGACTACGTCCAACAGCAAGGCCTATGATCAGGAGGTTTTGAGAAGCGTGGAACTGCTGGTATTCCCAGGTTCACCCTGACCCGGGGTGGTAGCACCAGTTAGGATCCCAGCTATGAGTAAATAGTTAACCTCCAAACTGGGGTCAAAACACTATGAAAGTGTAAAACATGTTTTAATACCAGAAATTGTAAAAAATTATTAATAGATTTAATGTTTAGTATAGAGCTTAGAAAAAATTCGCAGAGTGAGATAGGCAAGAAGTAAGGCATGTAGCAACACCAGCACGGCAAAGGACACTCCTTTAAAGGCAAGGAAGGGTAAAAATATTTTAAGTCAAGTGATAGCGATTGCTGCATGAGGTGTACGATTTTTGAATCAAGCACGGGCCACGCCGGGTCATGCTGCTAGTTAGTTTTAAAATGACATCCTCCAGATGGTGGCCTCTATTCGCCATTCACGCTTGTAGACGATTTCTAAAGTTTTTCCATCACCCGGAAGTTTGAGCGCTTCGAGGTTTTCCAGGTTGCTTTCTTTTAAGCGCAGAACCTGTGGCCCTGAATTTTTCAACCATTAGCACTATCGATTTTCTCTCCGGAACAACATCATTCCAACGTAAATTGAAATGAGCATGAAAAGCTCTTTGTGTTGCATTACAGATTCATCAAAAGAAGTTTCAACAGCAAACGCACGGTGTTCATCTATCCAAGCCATGATGGTAGCTGATGGTATCTGAAAATTAAATGGTAAAACATTAGCAAGATGAAGACACCATTGCCCCTTGATTAAGTTCATTAGTAACACACAAGTGGCAGTTTAAAATGTAGCAGGTATTTCTGCCACACTCTGTATAAATGACGTATAGATATCAGTTATATAACATAGGAAAGTACCAAATGGCATAGACAGTCAAATGCTAGCTGATAACTTTATACTCATGCCTGTATGAAAGGCATGAACACACGTATCCCTGCACTACCCCGTCTCCCGATATCTTAGAG